GAGTTTGTTGGCAGCTAGAAGAGGTATTGTTTTAAATTACATAAAAAAACCCTAAAAAATCCACCCCAATACAGTCCTGGAAAGTTTTCAGTCTTGCTAGATATACTGCAGTTTTTCTAAATTAGTTAGTTCAGCCAAAATGTAATTATTCTAACAACATGGTAGCAACCCTGTTGTGCAGGTTGGGCTGGGCATCCATTCTATATCTTACTTTGTGCTCACTGTTTTAGGAAGACACTTTCTTTTAAGCACAAACTTGCAATATTTGGGATCAACTAAAGTGCACTTTCAAAACAGCATCTCAAGAAAATCCATGTAGCTAGCTGAGTATGTAAATAGGAACTACAGATACGTGTGTAACGTGTTCAACCGGCTTTTGGGAAGTGCAATTAGGGAAAAAGATTGCTTTGTTCTAGTAATTTATTTGCAGAATCTACATAGCTTTGAGCAATTATTTGTGTGTGTTTAAAAACACTTATTTACAAAGAAAGCAGTTCAAAATGCATCATATTCTGTGTCTGAGTATAAAGCATGGTTTTCTACCAACACAAATATATGTATAGCTTGTATGCTCAAACTTATGTACTGAAATTAATACTGTGTGTTTCTACTGGACTGAGTTCTTAATGTACCATAATTTTATCATTATTACTATTAATCAAATCAATCTTGGTTCATCTGGATTCCATATTAGGAAAAAGTCTGTCTTTTCTACTCTAATTTCTAGCTCTCCTCTGATTTCTTGTCAAAATTTTTCTAACACCCAGAAGTATGTCCTTTCATTTTTAATTTGCCAGTTTCTAAAGAAATTAATGACCTTACAAAATTTACATAATAAAAATATTTAAATTCTCAGTCCTTGCACTGCATTAAGTAAAGAAAAGCCAAAGAATGGACAATTTCCTTAGAATGGGCTTCAAATTTTCTACATACTACATATAAACAATCTCAAAATGTAAAAGGAAATGAGAGTCATGGTAAAGATTTACAATGAGATCTAACTAGCACCTGTATAAATACATTAAGCTTTGGAATCATGGCCTTTGTATATTTGCATTTGTATTCTGATCAATACACTAACTAAAATAATTTTAATATTGATTTATATATTGAATTGAAATTAAACTATTTTAAGACTATTTCTCTCTTCAAAGAGACATTAGGCCTATATTTTGGTAAAGGACTATATTTGTACCAGAAGTACGTATAAAAGTACTTCTGTACTTTTACATTCTGGTAATCTAATCCCATCACTGATTTTATTTTAAAACATTTAGTTAAGAGTTAATATATTGAACCCTAAAATGGGTTTCATTACCTAAAATACTACTTACAAACAACTGCTAGCACTGGAACAAAACTCAATTTAAATGGTGAGTTGCGTATGTTATGTATGACAGCAAAGAATTTAAAGATTAATTCAGATACTCCCAAGTCCAGGTAAAAACTGTAATTGTAGGCAACAATTTGTGTTGTTACCAACAGGTGTGTCCAGTAATCCTGACACTTCACTTGAAAGAAGGTCTAAATAATAAATAGCAAGCAAGTTCATGCAAAGTAATATGAAACTTATGAACTTAATGCAAATTTTGGTGTGTAAATCTTCAAACAAAGCTCAAAACTTGGTTGATCTCTTTTCTGTTTCTGTTACATTCTGTCATAAAGCTGCAGCAAGCTTAGTACTCTAACAAAGGCAGCCACACTGGACTATAATGAAACACTGGCTGGATATTCAGTAGATGAAATAATTCTTGATATTTTCTGAGAAATGATCACAGTGATGTGGTAATGACTTCACAGTATACAAATATTTATCACTTGTCATTACTACTTAATCTCCAAAGGATTTTAAATTGAAAAGATAAATTATTAATATTAAGCAACATAGCTTAAATATTTATCGCCATTTTTTAATAATTACTGCTCAGAAAATCATAGAATTACCCAGACATGTGATTTTGGCAAAAGAAGTTAGGTATAAGATGCTTGTACCAGTTTTATAGAGAGATACAGTTTGGACACTTTTTCATTATTCACAAATCCTGAAAATAAAAGAATAATAACTGCTCTGCCCAAAAGTGTTATATCAGTAATTAACAAAGACTGCAAAGTATAACATTCTATACTTATTCTGGCTTCATGTTGATTAGCACTTTTCTCAGTGCTTGCACACACCAAATCTACTAACTCAACTTTGAATTCTGGCTCTACAACAAATGTACACTCAGTCCACTGGAATATAAAACAAGCAACAGTACATTAACAAATTTTGGTATGTAGAAATCTGCATCAATAGCACAAGAAAACGGAATACAAGTGTGATGTCTTTGCTGGAAGACAGATATCCTAGAAATATACTTCAAGGATTTTCTACAAACTACAATGCCTTCAGTGATGAGAAATTCACATCTAGGGATTCTGACTGATTAGGCATCTTCTTTTGCCTTTGAGGAACCTTAATGACTACAGTAAAACTTATGTATAAATATCTGTTCATATGGATGAAATGACAGAAGCACTGATTTTGGTTGATTTGTCTATATGCACACTGTTTTACATTACCTAATTACAAGCAATTAATAGTATATTTGAAAAATTTTATAC